CCCACTGCTTTCAATAGGCCAGCAGCAACACAGGGAGTGTGGAGGAGATAGAGACTTTCTCAAACTCACCAGCAGGGGGAGCTCAGCTCCCATCCATCTCCCCACGCCCTCACCTATCTAGTCCCCTCCTGACATACCGGTGGCCAACCTGCCCCTGCCCTGCTAGGGACTGTCCACTCTCCCCAGCAGGGGGCGCTGCATGCATCAGAAGCCCCCTGGTGGAACTGGGAGGATGGGAGATGTGGTGACGTGCAATGGACAGCCCCCTCCCGGAGGCCCCTCTGCAGCTGCTCTGTCAAACTCTGCCCCAGGTGTGCGCGTGCGAAGGGAGGGGAGCGCAATGGAAACAGCCCCGGGCTTCTTCTGCATCATCTCGGCTGCTCCTGCAGGGTTGTTATTATTTGTATAACCACCAAGCGTTAGACGTGCGCAGCTAAGATCAGGGCCCCGTCATGCCGGGCGCTGCACAGACCCCGCCTGAGATCAGGGCCCCGTTGTGCCAGGCGCTGCACAGACCCGGAACAAGATCAGAGCCCCATTGTCCTGGGCACTACACAGACCCCGAGATCAGGGCCCCCGTTGTGCCAGGCGCTGCACAGCCCCTGAACCTAGCTCTCAATCCCATTGCTGTACAGTGAGAGACGGCCCAATGCCCCTGGCAGTTTATAATCTAAATAGACAAGGCAAACCGGGAAACAAAGGCAGGAAGAGACTTAGCTGGGGATAGAACCCAGGTGTCCTGAGGCCCAGTCCAGGGCACCATCCCGCACCGTCTCTCAGTTACAGAGCCTCTGCTTTTGCCATTGGCTGAGACCCAATCCTCTGAATGTACATACTGAAAAACTTCCCCCCACACCGCCCCTGCTGTTGGGATTCACCCCTGCCCTGGGGTAAGCAGGGAGCCCACAGCCTGTTCAGCAGGGAGGGGAATCAGGGTCCATTGTGGGTATTTATGGCTGTAGATACCAGTCCTGGAAGGAACTGGGCTCAGACCCCACCCAACTCATTTCACCTGGAGGTCGCCTGATGGCCCTCAGCTGGGATAGACTGAGCTCTTGACCCCAGCGTGGATTCAGAGTGACTCTGGAGTGACTCAGGTTTAAGAGGGGAGGCCAGAATCTGCCCATCTGGTGATTTAGAGATGAAAGGATCCCTAATCTGTGATACACCAGCCACCCCGCCCCCTGCCAATCTAGACAGGAGTTCAAAGTCACCTCCCTCTGTTTGCTCTGCCCTCAAAGAGGCCGGCACAATGTTGCCCTAACAGAGCTGTGACCTTCCCTACTGTTCCTAGCCAGCTGCCAAATTATTTAACCCTTTCACTGCGAACACGTTTCTGATTCCCGCCCTCACCCCCGCCCCATTCAAAGAAACTTAAAACAACGCAACGATCACGTTACATGCTGTGATTGTCGTTTTGATTCCTTTTACAAGTCGATAGTTTAGGAGGGGTCCAGGGGGTTGGGCACCAGCCAAGGAGTCAGGACGCCTGGGTTCTCTTCCACAGCTTCGCCTCTCAACTGTGGGGTGAGACCTTGAGCAAGGGGATTGGATTGAGGACACACAGGCAGCGTTCGTTCTGGTGTTTCCTGGCTGGCGAGAGCTTGGCTTTGCACCCTTAGTATTCATTGAATCGAGTTTTTGTCTTCATTAGCCGTAGTGATTATTTTTACAACCTCTAGGCGCCCAGTCATTGCCCAGGACCCCAGAGTGCCAGGTGCTGTACATTATTTATTAGGTGTATTACGGTAGCGCCTAGGCGCCCAGTTATGGTCAAGGACCCATGGTGCTAGGTGCTGTACGTTATTAGGTGTATTACGGTAGCGCCTAGGTGCCCAGTTATGGCCAAGGACCCCATGGTGCTAGGTGCTGTACATTATTTATTAGGTGTATTATGGTAACGCCTAGGCGCCCAGTCATGGCCCAGGACTCCGGTGCTCGGAGCTGTACAGACACAGTTTATTGGGTTGTGTTGTCTTGCTGAGGCCAGGACTGAACTCAGGGCCCCGTCATGCCGGGAGCTGCAGAGACCCGGCAAGTGACAGTTCCTGCCCCACAGAGCTCACAGTCTAAAAACCCTGCTCACATTGGCTGCGCTTGGACTGAACCAGTGTGGGGTTAAAGCTACACTGCTGTAAAGCACCTTTATACTGGTCTAATGGCATCCATACATGGGACTGTATCCTGATCAGCCCCACCCCACCCCCACTGGGCCCCTCATTCCCCTCTCTGGCCAGCCCCTCACCCCCCACTCCACTCCAGACCACCCCTCCCCTACCAGCCCTCCCCCCTCCACTCTGGCCAGCTCCCTCTCTCACCACTCCAGCCACTCCCCCATAGCCAGACCTCTCTCCCCACAATCCTCCCCGTCCCAGCTGGGTCCCTCACCCCACACTCAGTCCAGCTTGCCAGCCAGGCCCCTTGTCCCCCCATTCCAGCCTGCCCCCCCCCAACTGGGCCTTTCGCCCCCTCACTCCAGCCAGCTCCCCAGCCAAGTCCTTCACCACCACCACCACCTCGCTCGCACACACGCACGCCTACTGCTCTTTCGGGCCTCCATTTGCACTTAAAAAGTTGCATAACACCCAGAGTTAGGCCAACCCGCAGGAAGCCTGCAACCCCTCTCTGTGCCGGTAAAACCCCCACAACCCTGAGCGGTGTGGTTAAGAGCAACACCTAGGGGACAGGCAGACAACTTCCGTCCTTCAAAGTCAGCGAGCGTGCAGAGACGGGCGCAAAGCTGGGGTGCAAATATAGACTTGGAGACTTTAAGGGCAGAAGGGACCGTTGTCCGACCTCCTGCAGATCGCAGGCCACAGAACCTCACCCACCCACTCCTGGAATAGACCCCGAACTTCTGGCTGCGTCACTGATATCCAAAATCATAGTTTAAAGACTTCAAGTTACAGCGAATCCACCATGAGCTCTAGTCCAAATGTGCAAGTGACCCCACACTGCAGAGGAGGTGAAAACCAGGGCCGGCGCTTCCACTAGGCAACCCTAGGCAGTCGCCTAGGGCGGCAGGATTTGGGGGGCGGCATTTTGTGGCCCTCGGCAGAAATTCGGCGGCGGGGGGGTCCTTCCGCTCCGGGTCTTTGGCAGAAATTCGGCGGCGGGTCCTTCACTCGCTCCAGGACCCGCGGCCGAAGTGCCCCGAAGACGCGGAGCGGAAGGACCCCCGCTGCCAAATGCTCAGAGGAGGAGCGCTGCCGCCTCGGGCGGCAAAAACCCTGGCGCCGCTCCTGATGAAAACCTCCCAGGGTCTCTGCCAATCTGACCCGGGGGCCAATTCCTTCCTGACCCCAAACCTGGCGATCGGTTGGACCCTGAACATGTAGACGAGACCCACCAGCCAGACACCTGGGAAAGAATTCAGAGCCCTCCCCAGCTCGTGTCCCATCTCCGATTGTTGGGGATCTTTGCGGCTAGCAGTCGCAGATCGGCTCCATGCCATCCCGTCATACCATCCCCCTCCAGAAACGTATCCGTTCAGTCTTGGATACAGTTGGGTTCTCCCCGCACTGCTCCCCTTGGAACAGCCAACCGAAGGGGCGCGGGAGGAAAGAATTACTAGTAGACGGCACAGGGGACGGATTCAAATAGAAGGATCCAGCCCCTCCCCCAAACACACATTTGGGGACTTGCTGTTTCTACTGGCGCTCCTGGTTTTCCCATTGCAAAACAGCCCCCTCTTTTCTTCCCAACCCCGAGGGGACCAAAACTTGCACAGAAATATCCCTGCCCCTACGTGGGGGTTTCTTCCATTATTGCCACGAGGGGGCGCTGTGTCCCCCAAGGGCCAGACCCTTAGGTGCAAAATCAGATGCAATTTAAAGCCATCCCTGCAAAAAGTACCTGCCCCTTCTGCTTCTGTTTGCACAGGCCCTGGGGTTAGGGAAGGGGGGAAATGCTCCAGGCGCTTGGCCACCACGTCCTGCCCCACTGAACTCAGTGGGGGGGTTACAGTTGCGTTCAGGGGGTGCAGAATGGAGTGCTAAAGGCCTGCTAGGCCTAGCAATGCTCTCTGCTCGCCCAGCCAGGGCGTGGGCATCCTCATTTGGAGGGACAGGCCTGGAAAGTGCCATTCCCAACACAGGTCTGTGACTATCTTCATGCATGGGAGTGGGCCATTATGCAGGTATGCAATCGAATGCAGGGGGAAAGGCCCCTATAACTCAATAGGGACTGGAGTGAGGGTTCGCAGGGCTGGGGGGATGGTCCGCTGTGTATGGGAATAGACAGAGAGAGGGGGGGTGCCTGGGGATAGATAGCTAGATAGAGGAATGCATAGATAGACGGGAAAACAACTAATGCAATGGTGCCTTTCCTATGTGGGATCCTGCCCCACCTGGAAATCCCTCTCCCAGCTATTCCTGCTCTCTAGATTCCCAGAGGGGAAGCCAGCCACAGGGGACCATGCCGGTTATCTGGACAGACCTGCCGCATGGCGCAGGCCAGAGGGTCCAGCCCATATCTGGCCAGGGAGCTAACACGGATTAACTCAATCTAAGGTATTTACCTGGACTCTCTTACCCTATTATGTGAGCACCTCACAGCTGCTCTGTTGATCCTCACACACACATCCTGCGAGGGAGGGCAAGGCTGTTCATCCCCATTGTAGATGGGGAAACTGAGGCACGCCATGGTAAAGTGACTGGCCCACGGTCACAGGAGGGAATAGAACCCAGGTTTCCCCAAGGCGGAGGCTTGAACCCGGCTCACGGGCCAGCCGGACTTCGGGGACCCCCTCTCCCCACCCCTGCTCAGTCCTCTCCACTCCCCTCCTCCCCCTAGGCCTGGGGGCTGGGACTCCCGGAGTGCGGGGGGGGAAAGGGGGTCTCGAACAGGTGTGTGGGGGGGGGTCTCGACCCGCTGTTGGCCCCGTGGGGATACACAGGAGGGTCCCGGGCTGGAGAGACGCGGAGCTCCCGCCCGTCTCCGATCCTTGCTCCAGCCCCTGGCCCGGGCCCCTCCCTAGAGCCCGCGTGGGGCAGGACGGGGAGGGAGGAGCCCCACTCCCAGTCCCAGTCCCCGCAGCTGTCGGCGCCTCTCAGTCCGGCGCTGGGTGGAGCAGGAGCCCCGGGGAACGAGCGCCCCAGCCCGGCTGCAGGGAGACCCCCTGCCCCGCTCCCCCGCCGGCGGGGAGAGGAGACCGGCCCCAGCGAGGGGGGAGCCCAGGGCGGTGAGCGCGGCAGCGGCCAACAGGTACCTGGCAGGGCTGCCCCGGGGGGAGCTGGGACCCTGTCCGGACCCCCTGCCCTCTCCTACCCCGGGGGGAGCTGGGACCCCTGGCTGGACCCCCTTCCCGGGACCTCAAGACCCCCCTTCTCGGGACCCCCCCTGAACCTCTCCTCCCCTGGGGGACCCCTGGCTGGACCCCCCCCCGTTCCCAGGATTTCTGCTCCCTATATGCCCCTTCCTAGGTGCCCCTTGGACTCCCCTTCCCCCATAGAGAGCTAGGACCCCATGACTGGGTCCCCCAGAGGGAGGTGCCCTGAGCGCTGATTTTTATCCCATTTCTGGGATGGGCTGTACCTCCTGGACCCCCCTTCCTGAGCCTCACTACACCCCCCTTCCTGGGCCTCCACCCCCCTGATCCCCTGCCTAGATCCCCCTATAGAACCACCTGCCTAGATCCCCCTATGCAAGCCCCCTGATTGCCCCCACCCATGGGGGGAGCTGGGCCCCCTGCCCTGACCCCCTGAAGGGGAGGTTCAGGGGGGCAAGAGGCCTGGGAAGGGGGGATCCAGCCAGGGGGAGCTGGGATCTCTGCCCCCCACATACACACACCCCCGGGCAGCTGCCATCTCTGCCCATGCTCCCTTGCAGCTGGTCCTGGGCATGCCCCTCCTGGAGCTGGGATCTCTGCCCGCAGCCCTTCCGATGCCGTCATCCCTGGAGCATAGATCGTTGGCATCCCCGCCTCCCCGCTACTGAGCCCCCGTCTCCCCGCGCTGCCCCCCAATGCAGCCGCAGCCTTGGCTGACCTGTAGCTTAGAAAGGTTTGTTTGTTTTGCTGCTTTCCAGGCTCCCTGACCCCTGTACGGAGAGAGGAGGAGAAGGAAAGACACCAGCCCACAGCTCTGTTCTTGCGCCAGGCTGGGCCCAGAATCCGGATTCCCTCTCAATCCCCTGCCGCTCCTGGGGCTGGAAATCCACATTCCCCTGGTCCTGCTCTAGCATTCTGGATTGCACCTTTCCTCCCCCGCCCGAAGGCCATGCAAAAGGGCAAGTGTGAACTCCTCCCCGATCTGCCCCCAAGGCTCTCGGTGGAGCCCCAGGCATGGCCGGGAGGCCGAGACGTCCGGGTGACGGTCCGAGCGCCCAGCTCCCAGCCTGAGGATTATGCTGCCCCGGGGCTGGGGCAGAGAAAGACCCTGGTCGTCCTGGATATCGTCTGTCTGCTCGTGGGTGAGTGCGGCGCGGGCAGAGCCCCATGTGTTGTGGATCCACCTTCCCTGGGACCCCTGGCTCCTGGTTCTCCTTCCCGCAGGGGAGCTGGCACCCCTGCCTCTCCTTTCCCTGGGACTCCTGCCCTCTTCAATGTAGTGCCGCGGCCCTGGCCCTGAAATGCAGCCACCTCTGGGGAGGAAACTTGGGCCAGGACTTGAGCTGGAGGGCGTCAACGGGGGGGTGGGGGGGGTTGATGCCAGCTGGTCTGGGGGAGGAAGCTGATTTACTAGCTGCCCCATGGAGGCAAAGACCATGTCTCCCTGTAGACAGAAGCGCCGGCTCTTATTCTGGGGCGGGGGCGACTTGGCTCCAGCGCAGTTTGAAGTCGATCGTCCCCATGCTGCAAATGGCAGGGAAGCCAGGTTAGCCGGCTGGAGTGCGAGGATCCGTTGGGTTTGCCGGGAATGAAACCAACGACTCCGGGGAGTCTGGATCTGCGCAACCCTGACAATTCAAAGCTCCAGGCCTCGGGTGGCGTGTCCGGGGCATCAGTTAGGCCCCAAACCTTCTCCTCTGGGAGGATATTCAATGGCACTGTAGCTGCAGGGATCTCACGTGGATCTAGCCGCCTTTCCCCGTCAGGGCTGCGTCTGGCGCTTTCAGAGCCTGTTGCTCACTAAACGGCTGGTGTCGCTAAGGGAAAAGCGAGGAAAACACGTTAGGCTGGGAAGGAGAATAAGATGGAAAATATTCTAGTGGCACCAATGGGCCAGACCCGCCAGGGGTGCTGGGCTCAGTTCAGAGCCGTCTGCAGAAGGCTCCAGCATTAGACGGATGGAGCATGGCTTGAGGCCTGGGAAAAAAGCCTCTTACGCGTGAAGAGAGAGATTAACGTTGTGGGAGTGTTAGAGGCAAATGAGGCCGAGAAGGTAGATCCGTTGGCTGTGCCTCGCGATACAAGGGGGAATTGAATGAAGCCAAAAGGTGGCTCACTCAAAACAGAGCAAAGGAAATACTTTCCACACGCAGGTTGGGCCCTTGGCCTGTGGAACTCCTTGCTACAAGATGTCCTTGATTTTAGCAGGATTTTGGTTTTTTTTTTTAAAGGGGAAGGGCTAATGAGACTATCTGGAGTTAGAGGGCTAAAAAAGTAATAACCAAGAGGTTTGAAAGGACTAGATAGGGCCTGTTTGTGTATAAATCAACCTTTGAATCTTGGAGGTTAATATGTATTCTCCCTTAACTGCTGACAACAGAGTTTTATTCTCTGGCCCTGCCTGCTCAGAGACAGGGTAGTGAGCTAAACGGATCCACCAGTCCATCACCAGTCTGGGTTCTGATGTCTCTGTCTATATATAGGCAGAAATATCCTGGGATAATCTACAGGAGCGATCTATTTTGGGTACTGGGGGCCAGATAAGTAAAACTGGGCAGATAATGGATTTTTTGGTTTGTTTCTTTCACCGAAACAGCGAAGCAAAATAATCGTTTTGGGTCGAAGGAAATATTTCCGTTTGACCGAATCAAAATGTTTTGACTTGACTGCAACCGTTTTGAAACATTGCGGGGGGGGAAAGGGGGGTTAAATAAAACTGGAGGAAATTTTGGAAGGAAAGGAGTCATTAATCAGAATGCTTTGACTTTATTTGATGTCTGGGCACACCATCGGTTGAGCAGACCTGATGTGCGGAACAACCTGTGGAACTCCTTGCCAGAGGATGTTGTGAAGGCCAAGACTAGAACAGGGTTCAAAAAAGAACTAGATCAATTCCTGGAGGATAGGTCTGTCAAGGGCTATTCGCCAGGATAGGTAGGGATGGTGTCCCTAGCCTCTGTTTGCCAGAAGAAATGGGCGATAGGGATGGGTGGGATGGTATGGGGAGAGGCAGGACTGGCCTTACAGGTGGGCGACTCCCAGGGCACCATGGTCAGGGGGGTGTTGTGGACACAACTCTACCCCCCACCCCCACCCTCAGCCAGCCTAAAACCCCTTTAGCCTCCGAGTGCTGGGCCTGGAGGAGGGGAAGGGCTGGGGCACCCCACCTGGGGGCTCCTACCATGCATCGGACTCTCGCTTCTAGTCCCAGCCAGGCCAGGAAGGGATGGGATTTCCTTTTCCCCTGCATGGACCGCTCCCAGGACTGAGTCAAACCCACCCCTGGGAAGCTCCGCGGCGGCTGGCTGGGAGCCCAGCTCTGAAGGCAGCCCCTCTGCCAGCAGCAGGGCAGAAGTGAGGGTGGCAATCCCGTGTTGCCCTACAGTAGCCTTGCGACCCCCTCTCCCCCCAGGACCTCCATTTGGGGCGAAACCCCCTCGGTTACAACACGGTGACATTTCAGATTGAAATATCGGAAACCAGGACATGTACGGGTTTTTAAAACCCTAAGACCATGACATTGACCAAAATGGACCCCATTGCAGAGAGGCCGTGCTGGGGTCAATCTGTTTCCAAACCCATTTACAGACCCTATTTCAGTTCCGCGTCAGTCAAATCGTTCTTGCACGGACGTCGCGTGCCCTGGGATCCAACCCCTCACCATCTGTAATGCATGTTGCCTCACAGCCCCTCTGCGTGGTAGGACCCCCTGGGGAAACTGAGGCACCGAGAAGCAAGTGACTTGCCCAAGCTCTGTGGCAGGGTTGGGAACTGAGCTCTCCCAGGTCCCGGCTAGCACACTGGGCCATCCTTCCTCTCTATAGCCCCCTGACCCGACTGCACTGATGGCTAGCCATTGGGCTCAGAGGGGCAGTCAGTGGGGTGAACCAGGGGAGTATCTTGGCACGTTAGCAGAGCTGGGGGTGCCATGGGGGGGATCCGAGTCAGTTTGGCTTGGGGAGCAGCGAGAGACGCCGCGTCAGCCCCGCCACTCTGAGGGATGGGGGTCGCTGCTGGACTGGGGGAGCTCAGTGCCTGGGGGGGGGCCTTCAGGTCTAAGGGGTTGGATCATGTTGGGGAGGGGGCAGGGTGGCGTGGGTCAGATCCTGGGGGAGAGGGAGGCTGGCAGAGTGGATCATGAGGGTCGGAGTTGGAGAAGGGGTCGGATTGGTGGGGGGACAGACTGGCAGGGTGAATCGTGGGGGTTGGGGCAAGGTGGGTGGGGCTGGATCCTAGGGGGAAGGGTGGGGGTGGGGTTGGATTGCAAAGGGAGGCTGTTTGGGGGGATTGGGTCATGGGGGGGTGTTAAATTGGGGGGGAGGGGAGGACTCACTGGTGGGGCAGGCGGTGGGGGCTGGGCTGTGGGGAAGGCGGGGGTCAGGTTGGGCGACGGATGGACAACGCTGATCTCCAGAAGGCTCTGGGATAAGGCATCGGGGTGAGAGGGGGGGAGTTAAGAAAGGGTCGACAGGTTGTGCTAGGTCATGACCCCCTTACC